CCAAGACTGAGGAATACAAAACTGAATCAGCCCATAAGAATACTGCAAACAGGAAAACGTGAACGTGCTGCAACCATACAGTTTGACTTCAGAAACTCGTCTTACTGTTCTTCTGACAACGATACAGGTAGACGGGATTTGTTACTGACCATCAATGACCAGATCAACATGTAGTGACAATGCAACGTCAATAGAATTTGATTACTCAACGTCATTTGCGAGACATGTTTACGGCTGCAACGTCAACTGCTTATCAAATTGCCGAATGCCATTGCGCACAGATTAATGCCATAAACGTTTCCCATAAACTGAACTGCCAAAGAATCGACTGAAGAAAAACATTTAAAGCCCTGAAGTTTCCACCGCATAATTGCCAAAACCCATTGCAATGGGTGGAACAAACGCATATTCAGAAGGTGTAAAATAGAACCCAAAACATGTGGAACAGAATTGGTTGATCTTTCTGACAATCATTTTGGCGTTTGTTACAGGCAGTCATTGCTTTTGACGGTGCCACATTCATTCAAAAATTTAAAAAGAATAATCTAGTGTTGCGTTTTTAAAGTCGGTCAGTATATATATTAAAAATTATTTAAATAGACCTTTGTCACATAGCGTCTTCAAACTTTTTAAAAGTTTAAAACTTATCATAAATATTTTTGAACGTCTTTTATATATGATTTATATATTTAGCCATTATGAGTGTTTATTTTTGTTACATCGACCATATTGTTTCCTGGCTTCATATGCGAATGCATTACACAATATGGAAAGTAAGTATTAAAATGAAACGAACAATATATTTATAAGAACAATAAGATTAATTCGGGTTTTTTTTATTGATAACACTCTACTTAAAATGTTCAAGTCAATTCTTGTAAAAATGTGCTGGACACCAGAAAAAACATCCTCAAATAAAGGATCAGAGCAGAGCTACGGAGAATACCTTTAGGACGTTTCATGTTTTCGTAATCTTTCTCTTACTCAGCAAGACTGAATAATAATATATATATATATCATTAACTAAGCATTTACATAGTATTAAATGTTGTACTGACATGGTACAGATGTCAAGAATAATTCACACAACCTTTTATATAGCTGTACTAATTGTAGACGGTTAAAAGAAATAAAGTTTATAAAGTCTATCATTAACAATAAAAAGAAATTAAGAACTTAGATGAAAATATTTTATCTTAAAGGAAATGCTTTCGAAAACAGAGAACAAGTTTCGTTAATCTGGAAACAGAGGGTGTCGCTATAGAAAATTTAGACTATGTTAACTGTGCCTTTTGCTGGACGAAGAAAAAAGCATCCCCTGGAAAAAAAAATATCATAACGAATTTCCATTTGATAGTTCTTTTTATTCTTTTTATATTTTTTTGTCTCTCACCATAGAAAAAACAAAATACTACACCCTAATTTTTGGAATATGCAAAAGTTAATTTCCTCCTTTTTAAACATTCACTAAAAATTATTTGTTTTGATATATTTCGTCGTCAATAATGAATATATATGTGTTTGTCTATTTTTTTAAATTGTACTTGTGGGTTTGTTTTAGTTTATTTTTAAACGGAAACTGTTCTATAAATTGCGTTCCTTTGTTTTTAACCAATTGTTAAATACCTCCAGCTGCCTAGAATTGAAAATATTTAAAACTATGTCGTAGTGACTGTTTCAAATCCAATATGTTTACGGTAATGATTCCATATGAAATAAAACAACATTACTAAAAACATATGTGTTGAACAAATAATGTTTTCCGATTTCAAATGAAACTACAATTTTAAAAGTATCCTCTGAATTATGTTTATAAATATAAACTGCTGGTAAAATATGTAATGCATAAAGAAAACTAAAAGACTTTTAACTTTTAAGAAATTGGCACAGTAGAAAAATGCCTACAATGAAACTGAGGGCTAACCACATGTTTTCAGACCGAGACTGAACAGGTGGATCAACAAACATTAATTTAACTTTGTCTACCTAATCAAAATAGACGCAAATAATCCGTGGTAATTTATTTCAACTTAACACGTGGATAAATTGATGTCTAAGATCAATGTGAAATTATGATATAATACATTAGTGATTAGAAACGGTTTCGTAAATCTTCACTAGCAGTTACATGCTATGTGTCAAGATTAAGACTTTTGAAAACGTGATCAAGTGTTTTGAAATCGGACCCATATATGCTCATTTAAGTTTCTTTTTCTTTCAAAAAGATAGTTTTGACTTATCATTGGTGTAAAGAGTAAATAAACATGGATGCTTGTTGAAACCTTGCATGCTTTTCAGAGGCTTTGTTGTGATTTTAAACTATTTTATTCACCTTAAGACCAAGAATACGTTTTAAACCGAGCGAGTACAAAGTAAAACTGAGCATCTGGACTCATCTCTTATTGCCACAGTTGATAAGTAAACGTTTAAATGGTGTGCATACTTATAATATATTTTCATGACACAATAACTCTTCAAAAAAGAGAATACACCGATTCATTATTGTAAGGCTTGTTGGTCTGGATTGGGGTATTTTTATTCTTGAAATTGGTTGACGTCCAAAAGCTTCCGTTCACCTTGATTGGAATAGAATTTCTATCGAAATCGTATAAAATACAAATGATAGCTCTTTATATCCTTTTATCTTGACACGAGAAAAAATTGAAAAGAAAAAGGAAATTCATTTGGAATCTTATGAGAAATAGACATGATAGACAACACAAATAATCAGCAATAGTATAAAAGAAGCTTTAGTACAGCGTACACACCGAATGCCCCGATAATAAAGTGAAAGAGTTTTTATATAACTATATGGAGTTGTTTTCTTTTAGAACAATAGGTCATTCTTTTGAGGAAACAGCCCAGATCACTCGAAGTGTCGATGAAAGTTGCTTAAAGGCATGCAATAAGGATCTGTGTAAAGTAGTTTGCCATGATTAAAATGCAACTTCAGTCTTTTAAAAATTTAATTCATTTAAACATGTTAAATGTAATCTTGTGTTTTTGCCAATTAGCAGTTTTCAGTACAAGTTCCAATCTAAAATATTCGTTTTATAAAGGAACAATCCGTTCCAGCACTTATTAAATTGAAACACTAGTACCAGAAAAATGTCTTTAATGCACCCAAATAATGTGTCGTTCTGTTATTTTTTCGCTTCAATAAAGTGACATGATGTGAGATTGAATTACATAATATTTTTTTTCTGATTCTCTGATTCTCATTTGTTTAAGAAAACATTACTTGCCAGAAAAAAGAGAAAAAACAATTATTCTGAATAGGTTTCTTCTAAATTGTCAACAAAATTATTTTTCGCTTTAAAAACGTATTGAAACCAGAGAAAAAACTGTCAATCTCTTTTATAAAGTAAGTATTATAAATTACTGACCAATTGACCTGTATCAATTTGCAAGATACTGAAGGAATTGTTTTGTTTCTTGCAACATACATTGACAGTGAAATTTTGATTTATCTGGACAGGCATTTGTTTTTGTATACACCCTTAAGAATACAAAAACTTGATGACTTTAATAGTCCACCAGACACGAAATATTGCTTCAATGACTCAAATTAATCAATATAACTTCATCTGAAATGTTGTTTTTGTTTTTAATACGTCTAAATTCCCTATATTAAGATATTCGGTAGCATAAAATCGTTACACCTTGTGCTAGTGACTTAATACGGATATAACGAGTCGGTAAATTATATATGGGGCTCGAGCTCGCTCTCGTCTTATGTGGAATTTATTGACCCCTTATATATCGTAATAGGTCACTAGCACACTGTGTGACTAATATTATATGTTTTCTAATGTCCCAATATCCAAGGATGTCTTCCTCATTTAGTGTACTTCCTGGTCGCTGTGAAACGTAACTTGTAAGTAAGATAATAGATTTATGTTATATGGAGCGAAAATTAAAATGTTTAAATGTCAATGTTTGTCGTAATGATTTTTATTATTTAATCTAGTTACTTTTTTTCTCAAAACTGGCAAATTTATCACGTTTTTAGAAAATTGCACCTTTAAAGCCATATAAGAGGTATTCACGGTTCTAATAAAATTAATAGACGAAATAACAATATTATGTATGAACATATCATTTTGAGGCTTTTTATGGAAGAAATGCTTTATTCAGTATATTGAGATTGAAAAAAGAGTTTTAAAAGGTATATGTTCAAGCTTGAGTGTGAAAAAAATAATGTCAACTTGGTTTCTCTAATGTGACTGTATGACATTTGCCGAGGGAAATTACTGTTTTTGGCAGTAGGTGACGTATTATGCGTCCGTTCTGAATGTTAGCCATAAAATGACAGAAAATTATGGACAATGGCGAAATGAATTCGAATACATAACATTATTTGCTTTTCCCTTTAATATGCTTAATAAAAAGCACAATCGCCTGCTAAGTAATCTTTTTTAAATTCAGTTGCCCCCCCCCCCCCCCCCCCCCAAAAATTTTTTTTTGATTTGGCCACACTTTTCCTCAATGTTAATTTTGTAGAAAATTCTGAAATATGTTCTGTTTTTTTGGTTTTTTTTTAATCTGGACAAAATTTCCCTGATACCGTCATATACACATTGTTTCATTAAGGCTTAGAATCTTTGCATCTTTGAAAGCTTTTATTTTAAAGTGTCAAGAACTTGATTAAGGATGACTATAATTATACTTTTAAGGTTCAATTCACATGTCCAAATAAGAACAAACGTAGATCGGTTGTTTTCTCACTATTCCTCATGTGCTACATGTACGTATACCCACTCTGCTGAAGAACGCAAAAATATAAGATAGTAGAATTTTGAATAGAATGATATGCGAAATAAACATTATATAGATCGATACATTCTCTTTTAATTTTAATGAAAAAAATACCTTAGTGTAAAATATCTATTGAAAAGACTAATTATCACTTTTCAAAAAAAACCTATACAATATTTTAAAAATCGATTAGTGTACATTTCAGTACCGATCATGTTTAGAAATAAATTTTTCAGATGTTTGAATTATAAAGACTGTTGTAAAGGTAAGTGTTTTTATTCAACATTACAAAGGACAATTATGTCACTATCTCTTAAAGTGTATTTGCTCTTAGATTACTGCTGCTTGTATTATGTTTTATTGACTGAAAATATTCATCACATATAGAATAACCATACATTGTCTCGAAATATAAATTTTATTTGTACATGGCTTAGAAACAGGTAGAAAGCGAGGCTTTGCCGAGCATTTCTATCCTGTTTTGATCCGAGTACAAATAAAATTGATATTTCAAGACAATGGATTGTTATTCTTTATATACTGCCACTCCTACATTTGTTCCAAGTAAATATTTAGGGTAAAAACAATCTTTTTTTTTAATTAGGAGCGTCCGACATAAAAATTCTACGAACCTGTAATTTTAATGACGTAATAAATAAAACTCTACGAAAACGCATTGCCAACGTCATAAACAAGGCGATATACGCATATGTTTGTGTATATCACAAATTATTATACGGTCAATGTAATTTGACTGCGCAAATAGCACAGTTACAGTATATAAAGCTATTTGTATTTATCTCATTTTTATATACGATAAAGTTTATGTTAGCTATAAACTTTGGTTTAAATCCGTTATTGTTATAGAATGTTTCATTATTATGACTTCTAATAAACACTATAGTCTAAAAAAGTTTTGGGTAATCAGGTTAAAATACATGCAAATCTGGAAAATCTGGTTCTGTTTAGTGGTGCAATCAAGATTGTTGGCCTTAAAATATTTTTTTCTGCCTGTTTACACATTCAACGTTCTGCTTACAACATGTGCAAGGAAGCTAGTAAATCAGTTCCAAGTGGTGAAGTTGAAATCATCCCTTTGAAAACTTTTACGGACGAAATCATGTGTTGGTGGACCGTTATTGAGTATCTGTTTAAAAGATAACGAAGGAAATGTTCCAATTTTCGTAACCACAATCCCATCATCTTTTCTTCAAATGTGACCTACCGAATTAGACTTATTACCGGGTTTGTACTTACACGAGCAACACGACAGGTGCCACCTATGGAGCAGGATCTGCTTACCCTTCCAAACCACCTGATATCATCCCCGGTTTCTGATGGGATTCGTGTTGATCAGAAGTTTTAGTTTTGTATGTTGTGTTAAGTGCACTGTTGTTTGTCGTTTCGTTTTTTCCATGGCATTGTCAGTTTGTTTTCGATTTATGAGTTTGAATATCCTTTTATTGTATCTTTTGACTCTCCTGTAATATATACATTTTTATGATCGGATTCTTTTATAAAGCTATGTTTGATTGTTTGCTGTCAGTGTTAATTCGTGGTATATAGTCTACAAGTAATAAAAAACTAATTACCACTATTTAAAAACCAATACATAATGTTATGTAGCATCAGGATCGATAACATGGATAAGTGTATTTCAGTACGTCAATGAACGCTTCGAAAATACTTTCAGAAATCAATTTCTTAACAAAAGTGAAAGTAAAAGTGAATTGTTTTGGTTTAATTGATAACGTCCGATGTAGAGGTAAGTCGTTTTCTTTTCGACATTACCAAGGATAATTCTGTCACTTACTTGTAATACTTGTGTTTATGTGTGCTTTGCTGCCTGCTGTATTCTGCTTTATGGACCTTTTTTATAAATAATCATGCTGTTCTGCATATGGTGTAAAACCGAAGGTGAATGGCATTGATCAAAACCATTTTAATCAGAACAATGATGTAAAATAAACGGTTTCAAGTGCTGTTCGAATATGTCGAACGTACCAGACTTATGACCAAATATCAAATTGACCTAAATGCCGACTTGTCCGGGTTATCAACCTTGGTGCAAATATACAGAAGAATTCTAAGATAAATAAATTAATAATTTGTTTTGTCTACCAGATTATTGTCCCTCTACCAATATCAAACACTCGGACATCAGTGGATTTAAAACAATTTGAAGCCAACTGGCGTACTAAATTATATGCAGGCTGATTTACCGTCAGTAATTTGTTCAACGCACTAAACCGTTCGGTCAGGTAAACTATATAAAAATATATCTTTCGTTTGTCGGCTTATGTCTTTGACATAGCTCGTAGGATTAGTGTCGGGTTGTAAAACTGTAATTCCGATGGGACATTTCTGTCGCATAAGTTCAATATATTAAGACAATAACATTCTGATGTCTGTGCGGTTGTTTTAATACATCCTTTCACCATTCAGTGTGTACTGTATTGAATTGTTTTTAAATGTGATTTTAGATTGTAACATAAATATTTATTTCAAATTTACCTTTGGCGTATTTTAACCGAAGCCTCGCCTGAAAGTATTATGTTATAGTGAAACTGAAAGTTAGTTACAGATATACTGTTTATATGAATAATTAAAGATCTGTACATATGAAAAAGCAGAGATAATAGGTGCAAATCAATGCGACAATAACCAGATTTAAAAATAACCAATATTCTTTACCTACCATCTTGATATGAGCTTTATTTATTAATTATTTTGAGGTGTCTTTGTAAACGGGTGCATAACACAGCTGTCATTCCGCAAAAATGTGAATTCATACACATTAGACGGTCTATAGGAATAAAGTCTTTCACTAGAGATTCAAAGTCGCATTGTTTTTGTGTGCAATTTGTCAAATAATTCTAAAATGACCTTTCAGCTAGCGAATTTATACCATAAGCGTTGACCATTCATAATAAATGTGACGTAATATCACAAATGTAGATGACAGTTAAACTTTATGCTGTTGTCGCATCATCCACAGGATGGACCAATGATTGACAACGGAAAACTCTCCAAACAAATTTCTAATTATTGGTACATCTATGACAAAAACAATAGAGATACCATGAGAAACAGTTCATGAGATTGGCTTCTCCTCTCATTATATTACATGTGTTATATCTAGATACTTTGACCACCTCTCCCCTAAATGCTAACACTGTTATCTCCTTTGCCTCCTCCAAGTTCTTTTTAAAACCTTCAAAAAGCCAAATTGATTCTTTTTGAACGATGCACGAGCAAATGAAAACTATTATCAAATATTACCACCTAAAACAAGGAGCGCATACCTCAATGCACTGAATCTTTCACACTAGATGGAAAAATTGAACTGTACCTTCTTTGACAAATAACGTTCGTGTGCTGCAAGGGTTATTTTAATACATTGTATGTCATATCATGGATAAATAAGTAACTGAATGTGAAATCTTGAGAAGCATCAGAACAAAAATACAATGTAGTCGCATATGACGATAACACAAATTCATCTCCATCACGTGGACTGTGACAACTTTTGTTAAACAATGTTACGAAACGAATAGGGAATGATGATTTCGTTATATAAAATGATCTTAGTTTTTGTCAACATAACTTATCTAAATTTCATTATATTAAAATTGTCTTTCATAATAAAATTAATAAAAAAAAAAAACCCCACAGTAGTCATACAATGTAAAACCGTACAACTTTGGTTTAGCAATTTCGCTAAGTTTTTCATTATTTGTATCAACATTTATAGTCCGTGATATAAAGTATTCGTTCCATGCTCAGATTAACGAAGAGTTGTTTCTATGCGAAGAAACGAGTGTTTGAATAACCCGAAATATAGCCATTAATATGATTGATGATGACACGGAGATTTCAGGTATTCGTCCACAAGACAGCAACGAAACAACAGTGAAAAACACAATTACCATTAGACAAACTTACTAGTGTGAAGCTAGTCGTCGATATTGCCGAGGCCAGCAACTTTCATATAGATAGTTGAAAAAAAAAGGGATCCTTGAATTTTGTGTTCGTAAAAGAGGGGAAGACTTAGAGAAAGTGAAAAAAATCTTTTGGGGTCACTAAAATTTCACAGCTTTTCACAAATTTGATGTTATTATATAGTACCTTCTTTTATGATTAAAAAGTCATTTAATCGAGAAATGGTATGTTTTTATTCATTTGTCTTCAAGAAACAAACACGTGTAATCATCAATCGGGTCAATTTATAGTCGACTATACGGTATGGGTTTTTCTCATTGTTGAAGGCATTACGGTTGCCTATAACTACTTACATGCACTTCATTTGAACTTTTGTGGATAGTTGTCTCATTGGCAATCATACCACATCTCCTTATTTTTATATACAAACACCTTTCAGAAAGATTGGTTTCCATTATGCGATATTTACTGTAGAATACTGTGTAATATTTTTACATTTAGAATTTGACATGTACAAAACATGTTTTAAACCTATATCATCTATCATATTTCATCAAAACTGCCCAAGACATTTCTTAATTCTTGTCTGACAATGTTAACAAAATCTATATGAATTGTTTTTTTTCTCATATTTCAGTCTTTTTGGACTTTTATTCTATTTCAAACTGTTCCCTTTGTTCTGAAGGAAATGAAGCAATATTTTCTTCAGTCATTGCAAGCAGCTGTAGTTTCATTTTGTTTTCGTCTTTGCAAAGTTCGTTTTCTTCTAATGTAGATATTGGAATTTTTTAACACACTCGGATATTTGCCAATCTTAATAAAATCATTTATTATGTATACATGTTTATGTTCGAAAGGACGTGAACTTTGATATGTTTTGTGAAAATTGCAGCGTTGGATCTAACCCTATTATATTTCTCATATTTATTGAATAATTTCTCTTCTCGTTGTTTATTTCGTTTAAATTGATTTACACTAGTCATTTTTGGTCCCTTTATAGGTTGCTTTTCAGCGTCGAACCTATGATTGCTTACTTTACTAGAGTGTGTCTTGGATGAAGAGATGTCTCATTTGGCACTCATACCTCATCTTCTTATTTCTATATACAAAGCACGGAGCATTTAAATGATTGAAGATATTACACATAATTCAATAGGACAACAGCCGAAAGATAAAAATACCTTAGTTATATTTTGGGATACAATTAGCAGCAGACGGACTTCATCGATGGACAAAAGTATACAAAATATGTTAAGCAATTTACCGTCCCAGCTTTTGATAACAATTTTTTTTGAGAATAGTGAATATTATGATGTACTTACT